TTAATTATTTTAAAAATTCCTCGAAAATTCTCAAGTGCACTCAAAATTACTAAATTTTTGAGGAGTTACAGGCAAAGGGATTTTTTTATTCTCCCGGCAACTTTATTCACCATGGGCGAAATTGCATTCGTTTTTTAGTTGCTTTGCATATTTTTCACTGTTATCAGCTGAATTCTGCGGGCTGATCCTCTTCTCATTTCAACTTAATAGCTGCAATTATTTGCATACCCCTCAGTTCTACGCTATTTGTAAATGAAATAATGACAAGAAATATCGGTTGCATTTTACTACCTTTCATCCAACGGCACTGCCACAGCACCCAAAGCAAATACGTACATTTGTACATACCCATGTAAATATTTGTTTGAATCCCTTCCAATGTTTTGATGTTTATTTTCATAAACTTTTCATTTTGCTTATTATTGCTACTGTTGTTGTTGGTTTTGTCATTGCTACTGCTGCTGGTTAAAAATTGCATATTTGCGTGCTTGATGTTCTTATAAAGTTTCCTGCCAATACAAACACCAATGCGTCAGCTGCCGCCATTGAAGTACCTACTACATAGGTACATATCTATCAGTTGGTGTAGTTTTTGTTGTTTAGAGACCATGTTTTTTTTTATCGTCTTCGCCTTCTCATGCGTTTGTCTTTATCTTTGTCTGCACGTTTGCTTTGTTTGACATTTGATATGTCACACAATTGCAATGTTGCATCAATTTAAGTTCGTTTTTTGTGCCAACGTTTCGGCTTCCTGACTTTCCAGCTTCACTTGTTTCAGTGGTAGTCGTAGTAATAACCCTGCAAAAAATGGGACTAATCCGGGATACTCCGGGAGCATTCGCAAAGGAACATGCGACTAATACCACTTTTGTTCGCATTTGTTCGAGCATGTCCTATGAAGAGACTAATTGTTCACCTTTATACCCGAACGGGTATAAAAAGCGACTAGTCACTTTTAAAAAATAAAAATAAAATTTTGCGCCAGCTGAGATTCGAACCGGGTTGCTCAGTTTGGTTAGGCGAATACTCTCTCTGTGTGCCAACGCCGCACATGAAATTTCATTGACTAAGTGCGTACATATCATTAAATCATTAATAGTACCCGTTAGAGATGAGTTGGGGACTAATTGATCTCCAATTATACCCATAAGGGATTAGTCGAGACTAATTGACCTCCAATAGTACCCGTATGAGACTAGTTGCGACTAATTAATGCCCAATTGTACCCGATTGAGAGTAATCTCGGAATACTCTCTTTAGAGATTAGTCGCACAATTTTTTGTAGGGAAGCAACCATGTTGCCAGACACCCGTTTACCTATCTTCGCCTTCACCACTACTCGATTCTTGGTTGCAACATTTTATGTGCTTTACTTCTTATCATTTGTCGGCGTCCTTTCTCATATGTACATATGTATATGCCATGTTGTCGCGTCTGTCCGATTGCTCTTCTCCTCTTTCGCGTGCTGTCGACTGTTGCTGGGTAGTGTAAGAAGAAGAAATGCTGCTCGCATATAAATGCGAAAGAAGTCACCAATGTCTGTGGCAGCTGCAGTGGCAGCAATAAGTGGTTGTTTACGCTGCCAAATGCCAACACACAAATCGCAAATTCAATTCATTTTTTATAATACAAAAATGAAAATACACACACATGTCTTATATGTACATGCATAGATGTGTATGGGCTACCAACAAACATACATACATACATACATACATACATTATAAAATATGAGGGTCCATTTTTTCTTCATTTATTTGTTTGCTCGTAGTTTTTTTTTGCACCCGCTTGGGTTGGTATTTTGCTCACTTATTTTATGTGTATGTTTACCGCTTCTGCGTCAGGATTATTTTGCACATGGATGTGGAAGCTTATATATTTGCACACATACATACATAAATGCGTACACGCGAGTTTGCGTTTGTGTTGTGGCAAAGTTTCAAATTATTTCACTAAGTAGCAGGAAATATGAGCAATTCCTTTGTGTGATTGCAAGTGTGTAGCTGGAAATGCGCTGCACCAAAATATTTTTATCAATATGTACTCATAAAGTCATAAATACAAATAATACAACTCTATGTTCGTTAATATGTATAGATGTGTGTTGGTTAATCTTTTGTTTGTGTAGAAGAGATTTCCATCTATGATTTCGTATAAAGAATTCTTAACATTGGTTTGCGAATTACAGCAATGAAACGGTTTTTGTGCGATATTAAAAAAATTTTAAGCTGTGTTTGTATGTACATTGTACATGTGTTTGTGTGTACATATGTATGTATGTATATAGTATGTGTGCACTTCATTTAAATTTGTGGCATTAAATCAGTACTGAGAATGCAAAGAATTTAAAATTGGTTTAGTTTTGAAGCCCCCTGTACATTTCGCATTCACTAAGTAAAATTATTTATTTTTTTATTATTGTAAATGGTTTTTATAAGAAGTTTTTCCGTGGTGGAAGTACATAGGTACACCCATTTGTATTAGAAAGTAACTTTAATTTTTTTTTTAATGTTGTGCGGACCATAGCCCAGTGGGAAAAATGGGACTTTTTTCTACCACGAAAAGATTAACGACTACGATTGAACGAAAAGTGGTAATGAGATGTACATACAGTGACGAACAAAAGTACTAGCACAGTAAATTTTTCGCAATATATGCAAAGTTTTTTATTCTTATTTATTTGCGATAATTTTTTATAAAAAAAATGGTTCATAGTCTAAAAAAAACCAAATCTCCAAACTTTGTGCAAAACTCAGGAAAATTCACTAAATTTGCAACTTTATACTCAGATTTTTCAGAACAATTCTAAGAATGCAGTTTTATAGCCCAGTCGATTTTAGTATAAGAAAGTGCAAGTTTAAAACTCCTAAAAAATCGCGTTGATTTTTTGCAATTTTTTTAGTCGAAGGTGTTGCTCTTTTTTTCCATATAAAAAATAATCGTGGAACATACTTTATATGGAAGAACCTGCGTGAAAAAAATCCCAAAAATCAACGTGATTTTCTATGAATTTTAAACTTGCACTTTCTTATACTAAAATTAGCTATAAAACTTCGCTCTTAGAATTTTTCTAAAAAATCTGAATAAAAAGTTGCAAATTAGTATGGTGTATGTACCATATTTTTATAAAAAATTATCGCAAATAAATAACAAACAAACAAGACAAACTTAGCACAGTGCGTAGGCAATTGGCTGAGTCAGTGGTGATCGTCGGTTCGAATCCTACTGAAAGAAGTCTGATGAGGAAATGTGGTGATTTCCGAAATAGCTATCACTTCTACTGAGGCCCATCTGATAGCAAGGACTTTTGTATGAACTCGAACGGAAATTTGAGTTTGCATGAACAATGTTCTAAAAAAATTAGCAACAGATTTAGAGTAGGGCTGCCAGACGTCATGGCTTTCCAGGATTAGTCCTTGTTTTAGACAAATTGTCCTGGTGTCTTCGTTCACACATACATTTTCCTGTTTTTTAATGAAGGTCAATGCAGACACCCATTTCATATTTGGCAGATTTTTACTATGGAAAAAGGTAAAGCTTTGTTTTCAACTTGTTTTTGTTGTGTTACATTTATTAACTGGAACAGGATAATACACTTTCCTCTAAATTGCTGCTTTTTCTGCATTTTGCACAAAAAAATTTAATATAATCAAATCAAAATTCAGAAATCAGGCTCAACTGGTGTCTTGCAAATATTGTAAGCTTTCATAAAACAAAATAAAAATTAATCAAAAGAAGTGAAAAATTAAGGCTCCAGTGAAATACGAACACTAAATGACAGTTTTGGATCACTGTGCAGCAGGAGGTTTATTGTCGTCTTTCAGTGGAACTGGAAACTCTGCGTGCAACACGATCCTGAGCACAACTTTCCCTGTGCTTTATAGATTGTACAAAGATAACCGATTAAATAGAAACCCTTAAGTTCTTATTTTTTTTAATCTGCGTTTAAAAATTTACCTCTTAAAAATGCAGAGCCGATTTAAAGGACAGTTTAAGAAATAAAGGACAAAAGCCGGTCTTTATTTTGAAAAAATAAATAAAAGATTATAAGGATAAGGGGTTAAAATAAAGGACGGATGGTCACCGTAGTTATAATAATAGATTGGCGCTTGCACATACGTTAGTGATTGGCCGAGCTTCTCCTCCGATTAGTGGCGTGCGCCTTGATATTGTCCCATAAAGCGAAGGGACCTACAGTTTAACGCCGACTCCGAACGGCGATTGTATTTTTATGAGACGGCGACCGCTATTAAAAAAAAACGTTTTTGTCTATTATTTTTTTTACTTTGTTCGGAAACCGGACTCAAACTCAGGCCTATTATATTAATTTTTAATTTGTCTTATCAATTGCATCGTTTGAATTTTATTTTTTCCAATTTGGTTGTTTGGTAGTTTTTTCTCTGATTTTTTTTTTTTTTTTTTTTAATTAGCAAAATAATAATAGCAAAATATTTCCTTACAAAAAGTATGATTGCATACTGAATGCCCAAAACGAATAAATAAATTTTTCAAATTCCTATTTTTAATGTAACATCCCAGCCAGCAAAATATTCGAAAATGTATCCTAAAATGGAAACCATTTCGTATAAATCCCCAATGTTTCATTTGTTTTCCGATTCCGTTTTCGGTTGTTTTTCTCTTCAGTTTAATATGTATATTGTAATATTTAATGAGTCTTATCAACTAAATTAAATAAAATTTTTCCAAAAATATTTTCAGCTGTTAGCCTTCTTAAACCTCTTTCTTTTGACACCCACATCGCACTATTTACGTCGTCTAAAAAAGTTACTTAAACTGAAATTTTCAAACTGGTGACAACTGTAATTTTTTTTTAACCATAAATCGGCCCTACTTTACAATATATGTATATATATTTTTCATGGCCGGAAGTATACATACATATAGGCGATTTTTTTTAAATGAAAATTTTAATATTCTCAGCATATCAAAATCTTGTAAATTTTCATTTTCAATATGATGGACTTGCTTTTTTATTTCAGGCTGTTATCAAAAAGACGCGAATCACTTGCAAATGTCACGGCGTCTCGGGTTCTTGCAGTTTGATCACCTGCTGGCAACAGCTATCATCGATCAGAGAAATCGGTAAGAAAATATACTCATGAAAATTGGTAAATATTTTTCTATACATATATGTATCTACTTATATATGTATATATACATATGACACACGATCATAAAAAGTTTATTTACTCGAAATTTTCCGTTTGTCGGAAAAACCAAAAAAAAAAAAACTTTTCTGAGCTTATATTAGAAGAGCCCCAACATTTTAACTCCCATCCAATTTCATCAATTCGTGTGGAGTTTTATTTTACTTTGAATACGCAAAATGTTGTATCATAACATCGCTAAAATCAAACAGTTTGGCCCTGTAAAATCTGTCCAAAAATTTAGTAGAAATATGATAAATTGCACGATAATAAACAAGTATTACAGTCTGTAATGGGGATGGGGTACAAAAATATTCTGGCAACACTGATTACAGATATAAAAGAACTACCGAAGATAAAAGTCAAAAAAATCAAAAAAATTCTAAAAAAATATTTACAACGGAATGGAAAACATTTTAATCATCGTGTGGACCCTGCAAATTCTCACCAGGTGCATGAAAATTTTTGTTAGTCTCAATTTCTCCACCTGCACTGTTCAAACACAGCTGTTAGTTAACATATTTATGTAAACAGCAGTCGATATGGTAGAGAACCCTGATTTATAACTGCGTTGTCGACACCATATATGGACAGTCCAGGCGCTAGAGGGCGCCAGTAGCGATGTCGGCAATGAACTCACAAATGTTAAGATTAACAGAGTTTCGGATTAACATTTCGCTAAGTAATGTTAAAAGAAAATGAGTACAGACATTACTGGATTTTCGATCCATCCTATGACCAAGAACTTAAACTAAACACCTACATAAAAAATGTGTTGCCTCCTCCTCCTTTTTATGCATTGTTCGTTTTGTATTAACAGCGCGTAATTAAAAAAAAATACTTTTCATTTGTATTACAGGTGATTATTTACGCGAAAAATACGAGGAGTCTACCGAGGTGAAACTCAACAAACGTGGACGACTACAGGTGAAGGATCCACAATTTAAAGTGCCCACGGCGCATGATTTGGTTTATCTGGACGAGAGTCCAGATTGGTGTCGCAACAGTCGACAGCTGCAGTGGCCAGGTGAGGAAAAAATTTGGTACTTTCTATATATATGTACTTCGAAATCGATAAAATTTTTTCTGTAACGGAATAACCCGGGTATATTTCTGAGAGGATGCATTGGGAGCGGTAGTAAAATCTGCTTTAAAAAAAATGTGAAAAAATTCTTTGCAGTTAAAATTATTTCGGATCAAAATTATGTATTTTAAAGTTCTGCAAGAAAAAGTAAAATTCTTGATTCAAAATTATTTTGGACCCAAATTCTGTAAAAATTCAGAAACTATCAGAGCTATCGAAAAGTGATGTATGTTTATGTATAAAATTTTGTTAGCTTCCATAGTTCATTTCCCGTTTAACTTACCTATGTGCATACATATACCCGTTTGCCATGGTTGGGTTTTTGGACAACGGTTAATTGAGTCTAGCTATCCGAATCGTATTTTCTATATTGCCATATAACTCTTTCCATCACTCTCTGTTTGCGCTACATACTATTTTTTCTTGTTCTCTTGGAAACTCTATATTTATTTTTATAATCAACTTTTTCTCTTTTTTTTCATCTATAGGCACTCACGGCCGCATCTGCAATAAGACATCCTCCGGTCTGGATGGTTGCGGCATTTTATGTTGCGGTCGAGGCTACAACACCAAAAACATTGTGGTACGCGAGCGATGTAATTGCAAATTTCACTGGTGCTGCCAGGTCAAATGTGATGTCTGTGTGAAGGTGCTGGAAGAACACACCTGTAAATAAGTATCTACATAAATAATTACGAAAAAAGTAAGAGATTATTACATAATATCAAAAAATAATTAATGGATGAAATGCAACTACTCAACAACACATGGCGGTGACAAGAAGGCGATAAAAAACATGCGGCGATAAGAAAGATATTTAGTAGGGGGAAAAAGCAAATAATAATACATACCTATTTACAAATATTGAAAAAGTTGCAGTGCTACTCACTCGCTCCCTCTCTACACTAGATAATCCTTACGTGCGGCTGCTGCATGGCAAAATTTCATATTAAACGACTTATATATATATATATATCTGTATATTAAGTATGTATGTATGTATATGAAAAATATAAGAAACGAAATGTTAAACGAATAACTGTAATTAACAGCGCAATTAAGCTACCAAATAAAAAAGTTGAATGTAAAAGAAAATCTATAAACCGAATTGATGTCTAAACAATTTATGATTACATATATATATTTATGAAAAAAAAATATAGCTTTTAAGGGAAGATAAATGAATAAGATGAGCTGAAATTTGATACCCTCCGCGTAATTGTATGTATGTATGTATGTATGCATGTATGTATATTTTTAGGCGCGCAAGCAGCTCCCGAAAAGCTCCGCATTGTATGTAGAAACAAAATTCCATAATTGTAAGATGCATTTACATATTTAATCCTCCAAAGCAAAGAAATGGTGGACACATCAATTTATTTATTTTCAAACGCTAGCAGCTTAATTACATAAAGAGAAATTCTTTGTAAGTAGTTTCATAATTAAGTTTAGATATAATTTAAGTGCGCGTGTATGTGTGTGTGCGTGTTATATCCATACATATGTTTGTTTGTCTACTTGTATGTAGTTAAGTGAAGTGTGTGCTCAATTTGCCGCACCGGCAATAGCACTTCTTTAATTTACTATATTTTGTTGTAAGCCTAATTAGTATATACAATACATAACAATATGTAAACCTACTTATTTAGGCATAACTCACACCTATAGTTTAGTGTAGCATATAGTGTATTTCGAGTAAGTGTATGTAAGTATATATGTACTACATACATACATATGTATTTTGTTTAGTTGTAAGATGCACGTATTTAAAAAATTATTTAATACTGGAATTTGTATTTAAGGGGATTAATCATGAACCTGAAACAAAAAATAATGGTTACATATACTTTTTTTTTCAAGTAGTAGAAATGGTGGAACAGGTCTAAAAAACAGTACCGGCATTAGCAGAACTTCAAAAACACCCCCAAAATCTTAAGTTATGATAAAAAACTGAAAATCAGGATATTTGGTCAAAAACACCGGTCATAAATTACGCAGTTTTTAACAGATTCTTATAATCTTATGCTCGTTTAAAAGCAGAAAGCTACATATGTGTTTCCGTTGCTTTTAGGAAATTTACGCTAAGTTGGTAACCATTGACTTCGCGAACCATAAGGCGTGAGAAAAATCGGAAAAAATAGCGGTGGGTTAAAATTACACCGTTATTTAATGATTATAATTTTAGTAGGGTCTTAATATTGAGTATACGTAGCCAGATAAGAGGCCACTTCCCCTTTCACATGCGCCACAGCGCGGCAATCTAAGAATTCTCACACCTTCATAAATAGAAGATTTGCTGTGTATCCTCTTGGTCACCTACAGAAAGGCTGAAGCTTATTGCGACTGCGCATATTCTAAGAGTAATCTTGTTGTTGGATTTGAGAGACGTTTGCAACTATTAAATTGCCTTGATGACGTTTTACATGAGTCCAAGACCTTTTATTCTGCCTGATTGTTCGGAGAAAGATTTCGATTGCAAGAATTTGCTACGGGCGTCCAAACCTGCCTATTCCTGTCTGCCTCTTCCTCGAGCTTCCATTGCATAGTTTACCAAATTTGATATCCTTTGCTGATCATTGTGGTTATCGCTTTACAGGTAAACTTTTGAGGAATTTGGGCTTGATACAGCGTAACTTCGGTAGAATTCTGAATTTGATGCCCTATCCAAGCATTCGGTTCAAGATGGGGCATTTTTGCACCGAATTCTGAGATAGGGCGTTCTTCAACCAAATTCTGAGATGGGATGTTTTCCAAAAAAAATTGAAGTAGGGCGTTCTTGAAAAGTTTTCTCAGATAGGGCGTTTTCGAACTGACTGCCGAAATATGGCGATGTTCCAGCAACAAAGATTAAACCTTAACTATTGCTTTCGTAATTTAAAACACGTCCGCAGATATGAATTTATAGTTCAGATCTTTTCAGTGGTAAGGTAAACAATAGCTAGAAGAGTTATATGCGAAATTATAGCATGGCTTTGCTTTTCTTGGTTTAAGTACAATAATATATCTGAGTTAATTGAGCAGTCCTTGCGCGAAATGGTTCCCCATATCGTTGCTCTACTGCACAACTACCACAAACGCTTCAAAGAAGACAAAAACGCATAACCGTTGTAATGTCGGCAAGTTTTACCATTGCGTAGGAATAGGGCCGTAAGGCTTAATTTTAATCAAAACTTATTACAAAATATTTGTAATAAAAAAAGGACTTTCAGATGCCTTACACAAAGCGGTCAATACTTCCGAACATTGAAATTTTCTAAGTGACATTTGTTTAACGAAAATTGTAGTTTTGAAATTTAAGGTATCTAAATTTTATGATTATTATTTTTTTCATTCAGATAACGATTTTCCAAAAATATACTCATAGACCTTTTGAAGCACGGGTAATTCGGTTTAATAGAGAAATCAACTCAGTCTTTGTCCTTATTGTACTTTCCTGTTTGCATAAATATTTAAATATGTAATGGTGAAAAGTTTCAGTATAAATATTTAAATTTAAAAACAAGTTAAAAAAAAACTTTATAGCGTTCCACCAAAAAATGGAGAAATGCATTAATAGGTATCCCATTCAAATTAATTATAAGATTAAGAAATGGTCTTTATTGATTCACAAAAAAAATATCTATGTAAATCTACATAAATACCTTCTGAATAGAGGGATTTAACCAATGATATAAACACAATAGAACAAAAAAGAGAACTAAGTAACATTAATTTATTTATAGGGAAGAAAAAAATAGAAAACGAAATCAATAAAAATCGCATAGAAGTATGTATGTATGTATGTATGTATGTGAAATGTTTGAGGTTACAATGCTCACAAAGGATTAAAAAATTAACTTACTATTATTGTATGTAATTTTGTGCATGAAATTCAAAATAAAAATATATACATATATTTAAAAAAGAAATATATAAAAATAAACTAAGTATGTATGTAGTTATGTAAGTTTTAGCGGTCGTAAGAAAAGCGAGAGTAATGTAGTCTATTTAAACCAATATAGATGGCGCAAAAACAAATTACTAAAATTGATAAGAAAAAAAAAACAGATAATACAAATTAAACGATGCAAAAAAAAAACAATATAATGAAAATTGTGCGTTTTATTGCTAAAAAAGGAAAGTGGCTGATATACATACATTCATATGTATCACACAAGGAGGCCTGCAGCTCGAGTACCTACCATTAAATCTCTTCGGTTCTTTAGTCCTGCCAAAACTATCAATTGTACGGAAATTATCTGCTCTGTTGTACTAAGTTGCGACCCTTAATAAATCATTCAATACATAAAAAAAACGGTTTGATGTAGAAGAACTATTTCCATATCGTGAAAACAGCGGCATTAAAGTAATTACTACATCTACGCACATACTTACAGTGCCTCAAACAAATGACCACGTGTATATTTTTTTAATATTCAATTTTTTTGTTTGCCAAAACATTTAAATCAAAGTCTCCAACTTAAAAGAAAACTTATTTAACAAGTTTTTATCAAAACTTCAAACTTTAATCAGAATCTATAGAACATTTTTGGGTATGCAGTTTTATGGCCGATACAATTTTCGACCAATAAAGTGTAAGTTTCAACCGGCAAAATCGCGTTGATTATTAATTATTATTTTTTTTTTGCTTTGGCTTTTTTTTTTTAATTATATAGCAAGTGAAATTTATAATTTAATTTTTTGAAATTTTTTTTGCAAACGGTCTCCACAAATTAATTCACAAGAAATTCATGCTTATTTGGAAAAAAATGCGAAATTACCTCACAAAAAAAAAGAAAAAATTATTAAAAATCAACGCGATTTTGTAGCCCGTAGCAAATTTGTACGGGATATAAAATAGCATACCCAAAATATTTTAAAAATATAGATAAAAAATTTTGAATGATGTTATATAATAATTTTGATGAATATTTGCAGAATTTTCCTAAATTTTTTATAAAGTCTTAAATTTTGATTATATGTATGTGTGGTTTTGGTTAAAGCCTGGACAATATTTTTAGAGAAAAATAAAAAAGAAACTTTACTTGAAAAACATTGTAAAAAAAAAAATCAACACTTAAAAACTTGTTTGAGTCACTGTAAATATGCGCATACTTATACTGGTAGTTTGCCGACAGCTGATAAAAATTGAATTGTCTGCTGTGCTGCCAATAATTACAACATTATGATCGCGTACTGCTGGAAATTATTTTTTATATCCGCAATAGATGTTTTATTATTAAACGCTTATCTCACTCATATTTAATACATGTGGTAAATTGATGAAAACGAAAACAGTTTTTGGTAAAGGATTTTGTTACAGGCTGTGTCACGTCGAACTTATTTTAGGATTTCCAGACATTTATTAAGATTAATTAGAAGTATTCTTGCACTGTTGCACAAACGCAAAAAGCACCTGGGTGAACAGCTGATAAGCAAAGGCGAAGTGAAATCCGTAGGTTTAGGTTTCATACTAAAGTTTGGTCTGTCCCTCATCATAGAGTTGTTCGACTTTACTAGAAAGTCGACTTTCGACTTTTCGTTCGACTCTGTACAGTCGACTTTAAAAGTCGACCGATCGACGAAGAACAATTGACTTTTTCGACTTAAAAAAGTGTATTAATTATTAGATATAAACATAAGGGTGAGAATACGCCAAGACTATCAGGATTTACAAGTGATCTTTTGAATAATCTGTTATTTAGTGAAATGCAATGCTTGGTAAAATAAAAACAGACACTAAAATGGTTTTAACATTTTGAAAATTGTGCCAGTTATACAGCATTAAAAAGATGGATGGGAGAGTTTTTAAAAATTGATATTTTTGAAAAAAAAAAATTAAAAATTTTAATTTTCCCC